TCCATTGAGATAATATCATTTGTATATTGTTGAAACGTGTTTTCTCTATCTGGGCAATTAATTTTATCACGGTTATTTAATAGGAAATAGCACTCAATTTGACGTTTATAATCGTAACCAATTTGACAAAACAATGTCAGGTTATTCAGTGAAAATAATTTACGGATCACTTTTGACATAAAAGCCACTCCGGACAATCCAAATCTTTTATTTTGAATATCGTCATGGTGGCCATGGTCAAATATATTTGCAACATGGTGGTCAACAGCAGCTTGATCTATTGAATCGGGCACAAGTATCAATTTTAAACCTGGAATTCGAAGCATGTGCTTAAAGTCTACATTTATTCTAATATTGAATTCATTATAATCTTGGTATATTTCAGATGTTTGATAAATCAAAAAGTAGGAACAAATTTCGAGCGGAATGTATTTTGCTAGTTTAGCATGTTTAAATTTTAATATTTTAAACTTTCTCATAATGTTGCTAAATTTCCGAAACATTAGTAATTTTATGATTTTAAATGTCGATATAATAACCGAATAGACACTTAATCCCAACCACATTCCCATTAGTCCGCCGATTGCCGATAAATAGCTTATAAAATCACATTTAGGCGTAATTTTCCATATATAGGGTATTAATTTTGCGTAAACTAGCATGATAAATTTTCTATCGTGCGAGTCTACTATTGGTTCATTTTTAATGAAAAAATTTTGATTCACAAAATAGTGATTGCATTCAATTCGACAAGTTTTGGACAGTAGGTGATAGTCGGGTACAACAAAACACGTGACATTCACTGTGCTATTCACCACGAATTGGCTTTCGTTACGAAACACTCGTGAATCCCAATAGAGATTATGTCGGCAACGACTCAGCTCTAAGTCACGCATCACTCGTAACATACATTCGCTCCGGGATTTCGGTCCGACACCTCCCGACCCGCGATTAGCCTCATAATCGTAACAGTCGGTGGGATAGGGTCTGGGTAACAGTGTCTGCAAGTTTGGCATTATATTAAAATTGCGAAAAGTATTGCGTCCAGATACCCGGGTCATGGGTGCGAAATGAGACATTGTATACAACGGATGGACAGCCACTTCCGCGTGAGGTAAGTCTTGCAGGTATAAGTATAGCCACCCTAACTGATATATCATGAACCCCTTACCAGTCGTGTAGTCATTCATATACGTGAGACATAAACTCCCGTCCCGTCGATGACGTATATATACCGGCGATAATTGCGAGCAAAGTGTTATGGGGTGTGGTTGTTTAATTATGAAACACTTGACCTTGCGCATAATTGAGCGCCAGTAGTCCAGATCGGTTTGGTTTGTATCCGCGAGTCCTATGTGTCGCGGGTTTAGGCATAGGGTTAGCGACGAGTTGTAGACTAATAGCTGGGAATTGCGATCGTATTTGAAATCATTGATCACATCGTAGTGTAAATAATTGACGGTTTGGTCGACGATTTGATACACAAATAATAATAGCAGTATAAGATTAACATGTTTCTTGGTGAATTTAATTTTCGCAAGTTCACAATATAAAAAGGTTAATTTTATGTACAAATGTTTCGAAAAATGTAAAATATATTTCACCATTTTTGCAGTTTTATATTATATTAATTTTTTGATAATAATATATAACTAGAAATGTTTTATAAGAGATATTGTACGTATGAACAACAAAATAGACAATTATATAATTAAATTACCCGGTCTATATCTCTGGACAAATACAATAGTAGCTATGAATTATAAACCAATATATTGGGAACTTGGTAAATAATATGCCACTTCAGTCTAAACACTTGACAATACAGTCTGTATTTGGATTGAGATATGTCACGTCGCGTCTCAGTCATAGATAATAACGTTATAATCAATAAGACATTCATTAATTTAACAATAACATCTTATCGTATCAGATACCTTTTATTATCATTATTACGAAATAAATATATTATTTGCAATTTATTAAAATATTTATTCATATATATTTTACTGATGATATTGAAAAGCAACTGGTACGAAAAGTAGCCATTGTAACATACGACACGTAGGGTGACGAGAAGTTTTGAGCCCCAAGGAGATGACATTTGCCATAAATGCAATGTTATGGGGAGGACGTGAGGAGAACAGACTACTTTCAAATCTGAATTGATTGTTTGTCTGTATACACTTAAATGACTTAAAATGCTCATCATATAAATTCGAGGTATTCTTACAAAATAATTAAATTTTAAATAATTAACTTCATAAAACTACTATATTTATTAAAACGAGTATACACTTTACTCGATTAAACAATCTTTAAACAGTATTTTGACAAAAATAGTATTACATTTAATAAAACTACTGGAATTAAGCATATTTATGTACATAAACTTACTATAAAACACATAAAATTAGCAAATAAGAGTTTTATACAATTTATGCTCAAGGAGGACATCTTAACGTCCTCCTCAGACACCGGGGAGGACAGTGCTCAGAGGGGTCCAAAGTAAGACAATCCTCCCCACGGAGGACGTTCTGGTCACCCTAACGACACGTTTAGATCATTATGTTAAATAATAAGTCCGATATTTTAATATGTTTAAACTAGTTCAATTATTAATTAGATATGCGAATGTTATAGAATTACTGTGACTTTGTAAAACGTTTTGTCATTTACATATTAACATTGTAATTGTTTTATATTACAATTTTTAATATTGTGAGCTCCTGTGGCTATCCGACTGATACCCAGCTCACGGTTACCGTAAATCAGCTAGTTTAATTAATTTTAAATAGCTGTCCGCGTTTACCAAGATTATTATTAATAAATTAACCACAAATTATTGTAAAAAGGCACTTTATTTTATAAACTCATTTGAATATACAGTTTACAGTTGATGTTAATGTGTGAGCACTGCTCATAGGATTGTTGAATAATATAACTTAACATGCTCTTATATAGTAGTTGGATGATAGGGTGCATAATAATTAATTACTAAATGTTAGAGTAATATAAAAATAGTGAATCATAGGACAATACGATTTAAAATAGTATATAAATCATAAATAAATTAATGATTCTGGTCCCTTTATTATAACATTATTTTGTATAAACACTAACAATTTTATGACATAAGTTAGCACATAAATAAGTTTGATTAATTACTTTTATACTTAAAATACTTATCGTGCATACAATCACTAATATGTTCAATATTAATCATAGAATAAAATATTATCCGGGTCCCTTTAATTTGGCACTATTTTAAATAAGCACTATGACTTTTATGACTTAATCTGGCACACAACTAAATATAACAAATTGCCATTACGTTTAAAATAGCTATCCTTATACAATCACTAAAATGTCAAAAATATTAATTATTGAATAAAATATTGCTCAGGCCGCGTTTATGAAATATTATTATAGTTTGCGTGCCAAAAATAGTCTGGCTAACATTATATAATGCTAATAACCTTACATATGCTTACAATATACAATATATTTTGATTATCATATGTTTATGTAACAAAAATATAGATATAATTATGAATAAAATGGTGAGAATCCACTCATAAATCGCCATTCATTTGAGTCTCTCGAAGGTATACCTCTTCTCTACTTCTTCTGAATTTTGCCAAAACATTGGACATCAATGGACTGCAAATGCAAACAAATTAACATTTTAAATCAATAATAAAGTAGTTAAATAAACTTATATTATTTACTGTGTTATGAGTGTGAAAAGAGTTGAAGTAAACGATTAAAGCGATTAGTATTACATTAATAGTGAATGAAATGACAGCCAATACAAGCCATGCATTATAGGGAGCCCTAGAAATAGCCGTCTCCTCGACACCCTAAACACACAGGTATTCCCATCCCATGTGTGAAACGGTAGACAACCGCACGTGTATTGCGTCTCGTGATAACTGGAGGGCAGACACAGTTGTGGACATAAATGATGGACACATTTATTGGTTCCCAACGGTTGGACAGACTTGTGGTAAATCTTCATCGCATTGATATCAACCCCCGATTGGACGACCACTTCGACTGCCGGCGCTTCACTCGTGTCTCTCATATTGACGCGAAGTATTGAATCGTTTCTATTGTCCGTCCAATAGATATAATCCCCGAATATATGGGTCGCCGATAGCGTGCTATCAGTGAACAGACNTCGTCACGTATATGACTGTCCCGTTTGGATATATTTTTAAAGAGATGTGAATCGGATCGAAGCGGTCGAGAGGGTACTTGAATTCGCCGTGTTTTATGAAATACGTGTCCGGCATCTGTCCATTGAATGCAACAATCAGTTATTAACAGACAGTTGTATCAGTTATACAATTGGTAGGTATGGCATACCCATAGCATCTCTGCGTGCATTAATGCATTCAAATATTTATGTCGACCGCCGTCTTGGAACTGTATTCTGGGGTCGTCCCACATGTGGAGCATCAGGAATCCTATCTCATAGGTCACACTCGACTCGTCCGGTGAGGATAGGGTCAGCAATAAGACACTCACATTCACTATTGTTTTGACTGAAATTATCAAATTGTTTACTAATATACTTCAATATGATTCAATTAATCAAGGTGTCGTATATTTAGTGTTCTAACTGTATGTTTATGTAAAGGTGTATTGTCCAATGATTGGCAATTACATTTAAGTAATATCTATTAATAGTTTATTCTTATTATAATTAAGTGTCAAAATATGCTTAAACTTAAATTTTAACAAAGAATTATTTTGTTTTAGATCCTATGTACTGTATTTGTTGCATAGAAATTGAGATAAGAGTCTAAAAATTAAACTCATCAGAATAAGACATAATTTTAATTTTGAAAAGGGATGTTATGTTTGAAACCCTTTGGCGTCCTCTGGTCTTGAATTAAGTGCATTCACAGTATATAATAGATCATAATTATATTTCATTTCAATATTCATACTTTAAGCTAAAATATAGTGTTTACTAACAAATGAATACAATAGTATATCATAACTCTGTAACTATCATGTGTTAATCAGTAATTAAATTATAGTTTAGAGACTTTAAAATTACAATGTAATTATTGTATTAAAATTTTATGTTACTAGATTTAAATTTTACAAATTAAATTTAATTTTTAGATATATTTAACTCCATTTCTTAGATTTAAGAATCAAATAAACATTTTCAAATTATTAAGACAATAATTTATAATAACTATAAAACTTTAAAAAGTACTTATGTATTTATAGCTTTCATTATATATATTTACAGATTCTGTAGTTTAGAAAAGTTCAGTACTATACTGTATAGTCTATACATATTCATAATTGTAAAATAATGAAATTATTTAATTGGAAAACACAAAAACGAGAATAATAAATAAAAAAATAATAATAAAATATAACACTTTAAAATAAATATTAATTTAAATATTATGAAAACACAAAAGTATTAAAAAATCTATATTTAATTATACAAGTACTGGTAAGTTATTTTAAGTTTGTTATTAAAAATATATTTGACAAAAAAACAATTTATAAAATACAAAAAGTACTGTATTTATGGTTATACAAATTGCATCAACGGTTTATAAAAGTTTTATCAGGAATTTATCATTAATGTACTATTATATAATTTATTGAAACCAATATATAATACCTACAAATACTGTCATTCTATACTATATGATATACACACTAAATCCATTAATGTTTAAACATTAAAATACTGTTTTGAATATTTAGACTTATACTACTGTATTCTAAATTTGGCCACCTGGGCAATTTATAAAAGAAACAAGGGTTTGACTTTTAATTAAAGTGATTATTGTATAAAAAGTTAGCTAATGTTAAAAATAGTCAATTAACATCAGTCAAATGACATGATTCTTATTAATGTAGTCATTAATTTTTATGTATGTCTTATATTAAACTTTTAAAGAATTTTAATAAAATTAATTTAGGTATAGAATAACTTTGGAAAGATAACACTATTTTTAAAGAAATTCTACTTAATTTTTTCGTTTACAAATTATACATTAGATTTCTATTTGTAAATATCTATAAATCTAAGTAAATATTCTAAGAATTTTATAAAGATTTTCAAATAAACAGAGCATTAAACGTTTTGAAAAGTTGATTAAATAACTTAATATACCGTATATTACTAGAAATGTTACAAGTTTATATTACAGTATTAATTAGTGATTCAGTATAAATTCTGATAAATATAACTTTTGTAATTAGTAAAATATTTCAATTTTTAATCTAAAAGTTTATAATAAAGTCTATTAAATAGCTCATTTATTATACAAAATGTATTGTTATATCGTACAAATCCATAATTATAATTTTTGTTTCGGTATCCATCAATAGAATAGAACAAAACAATTTATCATTAGTTAAATGCCATTAAATTTTATAATACCTTAGTATGGGATATGTTAACATGCATTCAAATTCCCATATTATAATGCTACCGGTATTTCTTTCACAAATCCCAGAATATTACTTACGGTATATTTATATTAAAGTTTTGATAGCAATTTTATTTTAAATAACTTTGCACAAAATCATGAAATACAACAATCTATACATATAATTTGCCACTACATAAAATTGCCAACTATGGTATATACATTTTGAGTTATATAAAAATGTAATTTCTAGATTTTGATCCTTAGTTATGTAAATTTTTATGTGAAATGATATTTAAAAAACAAATTGAGACATAGTACAGTAATAATAACTGGAATTTGTTAATAAATGATAGTGAAGTGTTGAATATAATATGAATGTGATACTCACGGGCCGGTCTCATACGGTGATCATAATTGTTTGGGTTCAGTAAATCGTCTAATATTTGTTTGTCCGTGTGATTCATAAACCTATTTGAAAAGAAACAAGTGCAAATGAGCTTTTCATTATATTTGTCATTTTTTCAATTTTTTTATCTGGCAAAATAAGTTAATAACTTAGTATGTGCTATTCGTCCCAAATTTTAGCTATAAATTATATAATTTTATGACAAATTCTTTTATTATTGTAGCGTTATATTCATTATAATGTGTCCAATATAATATAGTACTGTATACAAAATTATTATCTTCTAGTAAAGTTAGTATTTAACTATGTTTGTAGCACTACAATATGCGCTATCTATTTTATAAGTTTATATTAGACCCATATTCAGAAAATATTTGACATTAATTTTGTAACTATTATATTCTAAATATATTTAAATTAATTACATGTACATTAACTCATAATTAATTTCTTTGCTATAGTTTAATTTTAGGCAAATTAAAAATATAATTATAATTAACAAAATTAAAGAATACTGTTTGTAATAACTAAAATTATTAAAACAATTATTTATTGTGCTTTGAATTTACTTCTAATATAATTGGTATCAAATCTATCTATGTAAATATAATATTTTTTAAAAATGATTAAATTACTAGTCTGAATATGGGAAGTATGAATTATTACAAGATGAATAGTTATTGTAAAAATGTGGAGAATATAAGTAAACATAAAATGCTAATCAGAGGTGTCCTCCCGCCCTGTGCTTTCATAATGAAAAATATATTAATGAAGGCATACCTCTGCACGTCTTTACTCGAAGCCTGACTCACAATTAAATATAATGAAAAAGTCATTGCAATTATGAATACAGTGAATGAATTCAAATTCATTATATTAATGGCAATGAAATCCACTTATAGACCAAATGTAATGTTAGAGCACCTGAAATGACAAAATCAATTTAAGCTCTTTTTGTTATTTGAAATATTATATAACGTATGGAATCGTGTATAGAATCGCAAGCTTTATAAGAATACAATAAAAACAAGAATTTTGATTCAAATAAAATTTCAATTATTTATCTGTAATTTGTGATACAAATGAATTACATTAGAGAATACAGTAGTATAATAAATAATTAACACAAAAAACTAACTTAAAACAATAAGAATTCAATTTGATTCACAAAGTTTCTCATTGTATACATTTAATTAATTAAATTGACTTTAAATTACATGACCTTTTTAAATTTTTAGCTCTTATAAGATATGATATTGCAAAATTCTATATTTTTGCATTAAATTGCATAATATAGTATTATTATACCGTATACATAGAAAATTGATAATGACAACAAATTATTCATTAATTTAAATAAAGCGACTACTAGAATATAATCTCTCTCTCTCTCTCTCTCTCTCTCTCCATAATATTACCGTAAATAATATCTTATTAAGAAACAATACTAGAAAGTGTGAAAAAATATTGTATAAAAATATTATTCACTATTAATTAAAAATAATAATAATAATTGGGTTAACGGTTAATATGATCAATAACATACAATTATAATGCTATTTTCAACTTGCTAGAAATATTTTATTCGGTAGTACATTAAAATTATCCATTGTCCATATTCCATAATTCACAATTATTATAATTTTAAGTCAGATAATAAATTTATTTGTTATTAACAAACTTATGAATGTTAGTATATTTTTTCATTCATCATAAAATTATAATAGACATTTTAATTCAGTTATATATAGTAAACTGTTAAATTTTAATTTTAATCATATTATTAGATCCAATTAATAGTATTAAAATTCATAGTTATTCTAATTATTAAACATTATTTTAAGCCATTCAATAGCCCTTGAATACATAATTTTAAGTCTTACAGTAGAAAATAAATTTATATTAAGTAAAATATTATTGTTTGTTTTATGTATTTGTAGTAAACAACGATTTTATTCACTGATAAACCAAAAAGATGTATCGGTTTTAATAGTTTCTAATAATACTCTCATAGCTATAAAATCTAGAATTTCGTAACATATTGAATATTTGAAATCACTAATATATTAACTCTTAAGTCAGATTTATTTAAGTAAACATTAATAACATTAACTAAATTAAAAATCTATGTAAACCATAGTTATAAAATATAAAGTTAAAACAACAAGAACTCTTATCATGGCAGTTATGAAAATGAATATAAATATGAAACATAAAGTGATTGCAAACTTCAATTTGATCTCATTTTGAGTTTCTATGGAGACTTTATATGTTTATTCGTTTCTTCAATTGTCGATCACTTAAATCCTATACTTTTGTTAAAGACTTTCTCGTATATACAGTATAAAGATTTTAAATTCCCATACTTTACTCTTATAAACCCACTTTACAATAATATTCCATCTCATTTAGTTTTTGAGATATAAGCCCGCAAACATGGTACCTAATGCTGCAACACGCTGTACTATTATATTCATTTGTTAGTAAACACTATATTTTAGCTTAAAGTATGAATATTGAAATGAAATATAATTATGATCTATTATATACTGTGAATGCACTTAATTCAGGACCAGAGGACGCCAAAGGGTTTCAAACATAACATCCCTTTTCAAAATTAAAATTATGTCTTATGCTGATGAGTTTAATTTTTAGACTTTTATCTCAATTTCTATGCAACAAATACAGTACATAGGATCTAAAACAAAAACAATTCTTTGTTCAAATTTAAGTTTAAGCTTATTTTGACACTTAATTATAATAAGAATAAACTATTAATAGATATTACTTAAATGTAATTGCCAATCATTGGACAATACACTTTACATAAACATACAGTTAGAACACTAAATATAGGACACCTTGATAAATTGAATCATATTGAAGTATATTAGTAAACAAAAACTATTAAAGTCAGTTTTGTTATCACTTACACTCACAGAATAACGACTGGGATAGGAGTGGCCTGCTCAGCTCACACTGGATACTCTATCCTAAGGACTACGAGGTGTACACCCTGCTGGGGTCTTTACAATTCCAAGACGGCGGTCGACATAAATATTTGAATGCATTAATGCACGCAGAGATGCTATGGGTATGCCATACCTACCAATTGTATAACTGATACAACTGTCTGTTAATAACTGATTGTTGCATTCAATGGACAGATGCCGGACACGTATTTCATAAAACACGGCGAATTCAAGTACCCTCTCGACCGGTTCGATCCGATTCACATCTCTTTAAAAATATATCCAAACGGGACAGTCATATACGTGACGAGGTCTGTGCCAACCATCAAATTGTCAGATACACTGATTAAGCATTGATTATGAATTTGTATGATAACAGGAGGAATATGATCCTGACATGTGAGGGTAATCTCAGGATATTTCCATTCGATAGCCCCAAATGTTTTTTCGCAATTGAAAGCAGTGAGTGATCAGACAATTCTTATGCAACAAATACAGTATAACTCGTTTGCATTGATGAATAGTATCGCACGAAAGGGATCAGTTAGAGTTGAGATGGGATAAGATAGTGGCCATTAAGGCATCCGAGTCTTTAAAGACAATGAATGCTTATATGATGCGAAACGAGACCAATAAATGCAACAAAAAGCACACCTGGAGGAGAGAATACAGTTGTTTAAGTGTTTTGTTAGTGTTTTCTCGGGACAAGTCGTTTTACTTCAGCACAGTGTTTGTGCCGGGGATGGTGCTCGTGACCAGCTCTTTCATCAGCTTCTGGCTCGATGTCAACGCAGTGCCCGCACGAGTCATGATAGCCGTCACAACTATGTTGAACTTCTGCACGACAACCAACAGCTTTCGATCCAAACTACCCGTCGTGTCAGACCTGACGGCTATGAACTTATGGGACTTTGTCTGCATGTTCTTCATCTACGCCTCAATGATTGAGTTCATTATCGTTAACTATTTGCACAGAAAGTTGCCTCATGGCAGTCGACCCAACTCTGGTGATCGGCAAAGTTTTGGTGGTCAGAGTGACTATTATCACAGTTTTCGTCATCAGGTTTGAGATATAAGTTAACTATTTATATGATTCACTGACAAACTCTTAAATTGAAATGATAGCCAAATAGTAGAAAACTGGACTCGGCACTTTTCCAGTCAGATCACGTGCCTATCACACAAAATAGAGACGAATTCGAGTTGAAAGCGCCACTCGTTGAAGGCGAAGACCCGTCAGTGACCTCTCAGATCAACCACAGGCACCACAAATCTGATAGAAACAGATCAATGAGTGATATTCATCAGCAACACTCGCCCTATAGAGCGCCTCCATCTGCCACCGCATCACTTCATGAAGACGACAGACTAAGAGCAGCCGCTTCTGTGTTCGCATGGCTTCGAAGACCACAACTATTCCGGTCGACAGAACTGACTTCTCGGGCCCGATTGGCGCGATCTATAGACCATATCTCGAAAACTGTATTCGTTCTGCTGTTCTGTCTCTTCTCATTCTTCTACTTCTTGACGTATGCTATCATAAAACCCGCGCAATTGGACGACTGGATCGAGAATGAGTTCGAGGCCCAGACCGATGATCTCGACTCCAATTCTCAGTCTACTCTAGACATACATTGAATTCTTTGCCTTTAAACCGATGCCTCGAATCACTTCTTTTCTATGATATATTCATCTTAATTGCAATCCATGTCTTCTGCTATAGATTTAAATGTCTTCAATTAGGAAACATTTAAAATTTATATATTATATTAACAATTAATATTTTAAATTCTATGTAAAGTTTAGAATTGTATTTAGAGTTATGACTTATGACTAACAAGAATATTGAGAGAAAGACAAATAAAATATGATGACATTTATAACTATAGCAATAGACAAGAATAAAACCTTCTTGGCCTCACACTTATTTATTACAAATCATTAAATTATGTTTATATTATAAACAACAATATTATTGTTTTATATAAGTTATTTGGTTAAACTATCCCTTAAAACTCAATAATACAATTTTAATTAACATATTATGAGAGTATTGCAACAACTATTGCAAAATATAGTTATGTTTTTTGAATTTTATTGAATTTATAGAATATATTAATAATAATATTTTTTAAAACAAACAGAATTTTACACATGTTATATAAATATTAGTTATGAAACCATAATTGATAAGCTCCTAAATTATATTAATTATAATTATGACTAAAATTACTATAAAATTCAATATGAAATACGCATTTCTATTATATAACAAATTATATTACTCCCTCATTTTGAATGAATATCTGAATACACATTTGAATTGATTTTGAAAATCAATTTCAAAAAGGGATTATTCACTGAATATGTATAAAAAGGTGCCTTTTTTAGTATTTGATAAATTTGTTGGATTTCTTTGAACGCAATTCTTGTTTGAAATGAGCAAAAGAGCAGTCTTTTACAGAATATCTAATTATTTAGTTGTCGTAATACTGACTGAGCGTTCATTTCTTATATATATTTGTGGTTCAATACATCACTTCAATTATATTGTTTCTCATCTCCCAGAATATTTTCTAAACATTTATCAATATTTCAATTTGTAATATAATTATATTGTATATACACTGCTGTACATTACTTTATACTGTATAGAACTCACAAACACTATAATTGTAGTAATAATCGATTGTTAACATTATATTTATAACATTATTCTATAAGTTAACATACTGTATACCTTATATTCTATTAAAGCATATCATATATTGTACACTAAATAAAATAATTAAACATTATAGGCAGCAATCTGTACATATTTTAATGAGAATCACAATCTAGTAAAACATTTATACATTTTACAAATTAATTATATATGCAGTCAGTAACAATTAGTTAATACAGTATCAAACAACTGATCCAACATTAATACTGTATTATGTAAAGGTCTATACTATTAAATAACACTGTATTACACAGTATGGAGAATGATAATGAGATTATGATAACATTAAAATGTGAAATAAGACAGTTTACTGGCAAATAAGATTAAGAAGTGTTTGTAGATTTATTTCTTATACAATGTAATGGTCATAATTTTAATTTTTAATATTTCCTTTAAACTGAAATTTATCACAATATGGAAAAAATGCTCTTAAATTGACAATTTATTTAATCCAATATTGATTACAATATATATTTAATTTGTTTTAAAATGATGTTACTGTACTACTATTCAAGAAAAGAATAGTTAATGCAAAACTATTTTTGTGTAAATTATTGAAAATGAACTCAAACTGAATACAGAGTGCCATAGGGTTTAACACTCTAATTGTTTTTATTTTGAATTATAAATTCTCATTTAAAATAAACTAAAAATGTTAAAACTTGATAAACAAGAATTCAGTATTGAGAGAGAGAGAGAGAGAGAGAGAGAGAGAGCAAACCTCAAACCTTTTTAAAATAAATTTCAATAAACAGTTAAACAGTTTAAACTTTATCAAATTATCAATACTATTTGACCGTATCGTAAATGTACAAGATAGATTCTATTATAAGATGCAATGGTGGTCAGCTATTGATGAAACTATAAAATAAGTATTGGTAAAATAGTAGATATTTCACCTACTATACAGAATCAACAATTGTATATAGAATGAACAATTTATATTGATCATCTAAATCATAATTTGTATGGGAATAAAACAAATCAAATTCAAGATTAATGATCATATACTATGACATATAGCAATACAATAACGGACTATACTAGTATATAATATACCATGGATATTATAGCTAATTAAGTACTTGACTCGGATGATTGATAAATGGATTTGATGGCAATTTTGTTAATATATTGATAAAATGATTTAATTCAGTGTACTTGATCATACAATGAGAAACAAAGTGATAACTAATAACTATGAATAGGATGTAAGCTATAGTACTATACGACAGGTATTACACAATAAGCAAGTTTTGGGTTTCTTTTGTACGTTTACAACAAGTATTGCTCATTAGAAGAGTATATCAATTGAATGGCAATGAGTAGTGTTTGCATGTATTGGATGTGCTCGCATCATATGATGGAGTAGTTTCTGGTCATAATAGTCTTGTGAGACAACAGATGACCACTCTTTGCGCAACTGATCCGTGACTCAACTCCAATGCAATTCATGAACGGATTCACTGAACCAAAGGCTGGACTTAGAGATGACTTCATGTGTGATGTCATGCAATGAATGCCAACCAAAGCACTCATCACTCGTCCATAAACTACAACCAAACCAGACATCACTCAACACTTGGTTATCTCCACATTAAGACAATCTCTGGGCATAAAGGGATTACAATTGAATTGACATGAATTACCCGTCAAAATAGAGTGACAACTAATAGACAATAACTTGGGATCAACTAAGACTCAAGAGGTGCAAGAAGTGGTCAATGAGACGTAATTGATGTTTGGCTAAAGTGTTGACACTTTTCCGGATTTACAAAAGACATTGAATTGAGTTTTGTTTCCGGACCTTACAGTTGATCCACTTTTGACCACAATTTGGGCGTTGATTGCGTTGGTTGGCAGGAGGTCTCGATTGGCGGCCGTCGTGTGGATCAGTGGACACGCGTCAGAGCGGATCCAATGGTGAGGAAGTGGTGTCTGGGATGTGGTGTTTGTATTGCTTTCCGTTTCTCTCAAACGTCTATCATATGAATGATGGCGTCGTTTCCGTTGTTGAAGTCATTTCATCCATACTTTGACAACAACTCACGCGTTTTGATCACTACTTCTTCTGCTGACCATCTCTTGTCACCTAAACTCTTGAATAATGTTTGGCTTCACTCTAATCGACACAGAATTACATGAAAGCGATGGAAAACAGCGGAGAACTGCTCAACGATTGCATCAAATTAGTGAAACTCAATGCAAACAACCCTTTGAGGTATTGTTGATCTCATTGTCCCTCAAGTGTCATGCGATGGCTAACTGAGTGTCCGATTGCCCCCAAGTATGGCGACCACCGCAGGCAACATGTCTCCCATGAGTTCGGGTCAACTGAACCCAATGTCCGCAATGTCTTCGATGTCCCAAAACATCAATTTAGTTGATTTGGGAAAGAAGTTGTTGGAGGCCTCGAGGAATGGCGAGACCGACGAAGTACGCGCTCTCATGCAGTCGGGCGCGCCCTTCACCACCGACTGGTTGGGCACAAGTCCTCTACACTTCGCCGCACAGTTTGGTCACTCGGAAACGGCCGAAGTGCTGCTGAGGGCCGGCATTAGTCGCGACGCCCGCACCAAAGTGGACAGAACTCCGCTCCACATATCGGCACAGGAGGGACACCTGTCCATCGTCTCACTGCTGATTATGCATGGATCAGATGTGGACGCAAAGGATATGCTGCGGATGACACCACTTCACTGGGCCGTCGAGAGGGGGCACACGGATGTGGTGGAGTGTCTGCTCAGTAATGGCGCCGATATTAACATTCAGAGTAAGTTTGAAAAGACTCCGATCGACATCGCCTACGATAACGGCAGACTCGAAATGGTTCCCACTCTTCAGGTTTGTCTCACAGTTATCTCACAGTTATATCCATTGCTAACATTTGGCTGTATTTCAGAAATACGTGGGAATCACTCGATCTAAACCGGAACCAAAGCCCACGTCCGCACCGGCAGTCAAGATGAGGCCAATAGTGTTGCCCAACAAAGCGAACCGAACGTCAAAGTCTCCCAAAAACTATTTGCATTCAAATAAACCCATATTTCCCGCAGGAGTTAACTGGAAGAGAGGTATAGATTGTTGGGTAAAGGAGTGGTTGTTTGCAATACTGACGGCCCTATTGTTCGTATAGGAGAGGACGGAAGCACTGCTAACCCAGTGTTGACCACTTTGGCGGCATTGGCTGCGGCCGGTTCCGGGTGTTCAGTAGGCGATGCCCTTCAATGGTTGGAAAGTCAGGGCATATCTGTGAACAGTCCGGCCACTGATTCTGCGATATTCCAGAACGCCTTCGAAAGCGGACAAACCATGTCTTTGACAGAAGCGGGAAAACTTGCGCTTAATTTTGTAAAAGACCAACAAATTCAACGACCGATACAGACGTCCTCATCGGTCACCACAAACGTGACGAACAGTACGACGAGTGGTTCGACCAACAGCTCCAAAGTGATCACAATAGTGGCCGACAGCGCACAACTGCCCCAAATCATAAGCAGCACTCAGGCCACACCCATTGTGGTGGTCAGTGGCTCCGGACTCTCCGACTCGCATGACTCACAATCACCAAATCCATCACAAAAATTCACACAAATTAATAGAAAAAATATAAATACTATTAAAATAAATAAAACTCTGACCACAACTACTGCCAGACTAAACAGTATATCGAAATCTCCGATAAAACACGTGTTAATCTCGAATTCGTCCACTGATTCGGGTTTTGAAGATATTGTCAAAGAAAGAGACAGTCTTTTGCAGGAATTGAAGACAACTAAACAACTTTTAGAAGAATATAAGAATAAGTTATTAGAAAAGGATAAAGAATTGTCGAGAAGTAGACAAGAGTTGCAAGAATTGCGAGCCATTCATAAGTGATTCATTAAAAACATTTTCCATTATTTAATTTAAGCCATAATTGTATAAAGTTTTTCGCGTTAATTATAAATATCTATATTTCTATTGTAATCATGTTTTCATTATATGATATATCGATTATAAGTATAATAATAATAACTCTTATATAGAACGGGATTTGTGTAATAAAAGTGTTGAATAATTTAATTTTGAAAATATGGTTAATTTAAATAATCAGGCATTTATTATAAATATACCGTACATCATGTGAACGCGTATTTATTTTTTATCATAAGTGATTCATTAGAAACGACAGGAAATTATTTATTTAATAGGAATTAATTTGTTAATCAATTAAAATTATCTATTTGATTTAAAATATTCTGAGATATTGTTGGCAATTACGATATGAGACGAGAATTAATTGTAAGTTTAATATATTTTCAATATGAATGACCTCATACTCAAGTCATTCATTTCTTACAAACTAATGAATAGAAAGTTATTAATTATATTGTCGTTACAATACAGTATTGAATACAACAATTATAATTGATATGTTCATAAGTATAATACTGTAGTTCCGTTCCTATAATACTATCTTAAGACT